TCAGGTCCATAGAATAACAGAAAGCTGCTGCTCTTATTTAACACTTTTATTTTATTCTCTTTTCATGAATTCTTATTCCCCTACAACCTAAAGAGTTCTGCAGAGGAAGGGAGAAAAATAGAAGTAAAAATTTTTAGTTGCTTTAAAAAAAAAAAAAAGATCTTTTTAAAAATATGAAATATCTAGTGAGTCCTAAGAGCAGAACACTGCAGGGTACATATTAATGACCTGTTAATGCACTTCTCAGGTGGTAAATTGTCCCATTAATGTTCCCTTGTCAAGTCATCTTGTATAAATTATTCAAATTCACAGTCAGGGCATGGTGGAGGAGGGGAGCACCATCATAGAAATGGTGTTGTAGACATTAACATCACAGGTCTTGCTCTTTCTTGGGGGTTACTCTTTACAGATGTTTTCAGTGATATCTTTTCCAGAAGGAATGTAACCAGAATGTCTGTCACTGGGACAAGCTTGGAGCATTAACCCCATTAAGCAAAGAAACTGCTTTCTCCCAAGCTCTTCTGCAGTCCATTTTCACGTCTCCAGCAACCCTTCCATGAATAATTTGTTTCCTGGCTTTGCCCACAACAATTCCATTTGATAGACCCAACTTGAGGATGGGTGTATTTCTTTCACTGATCATGTCAGTGCTCAAGTCACAGAAGACAAGGCTGGGCAAGCATTAAGGTTTTTGCTGGTCAACCTCCTCTTCGTGGGGCACCATCAGCAGGCTTTCCCAAGGCTGGATTGCTGTGGCTGTTTTCCAGGCCCATAGTGATGGTGAAGTGATCCCCTAAGCCTGGCAGGACCTTGGGGTGGTCTGCTATGTCTGTGCAGTATTTCCAGGCTTCCCAGCTTCACCCTGTGGTGTAGATAATCCACAGAAAATATACCTGTATAATTTGTGTCAGATGTTTGCCTGACACATTCCTTAAAAACTTCAAAGACAGAGATTCCCCATCTCCCCACACAGCCTATTTCAGGGTTTAGTTTTACAGAGTGTTCCTTATGTTTAAGTTAATTTTCCCCTGTTGCAGATGAGGCCCATTACTATTTCTCCTCCCTAAAATAAGCACAGAAAAACTGCTTATTCCCTTTCTCCTTTGCAGCAGCCTTTTATGTACTTTGAAGGCTGTTATCCCTTCTTTTAGCCATCTCTTCTCCAGTCTGCACAGCCCCAGATCTTTCAACCTCACCTCCTAAGTTTAGTGCTTTGATCTTTCTCACTGCAGGAATGAGTCAACTTTTTACCTGAAGTGGAGTTTCCAAAGCTCGATGCAGTCAGAGGAGCGTAGAGAATGACTTGGTGTGTCACATGGCTTGGAGCTAAACTACTATTGGTGTTTCCCATGTGGTTTATCAAACTTTTGCTTCAGATTCTTCTTTGGACTCTCTATAATCTCAGGGTTTTCATTTCTGCAGAAAAGGGACCAACCTTAACCTTTCACTCTGCACTTTGCAAAATGGTTGATCTTCAATGTAGAAATTAGCATTAGTTCTTTGTAGGTTACATCATTTTTTCATGTTTCCTTATTTATTTACCTCTTCAGCTAAATAGCAGGTAATAAACAAGAGGAATATAGTGACCCTCTGCCACAGCTGGAGAAAATGATTGTCTACCTCAGGCTTTGAGTGTGGAATTTTTACTCTAAAATTTTCCTAAATAGGTAACATTAGCTTTGCATCTCTTTTACATATAAACTTTAAAACTGTACTAGTTGCTCTCTCAGATTCTTCAGTTATAATGTCAAAAATCCCTCAACAGTGATGCTGATCTTTTCTTCCTTATAAAATTAGGAAAAAAAAAATAATCCAGTATTTCAGGTAGCAAATATTAAGTTTGGCTCATATTTTTGATGTGACAAACCCACTTGTTTTGCCTGAGAGGATTTAAGCTAACAATGATGTGAATCCTAGTGCTGTTGGAGACTGTAGAAAATCTCCCATTTAGTGCATCCAGGTTTTCAAACATCTTTATTATGATCCTGCAGGCTATCACCTTGTCAGTATGTATGTAGATTTTGTGGTTACAATGGGGAAAAGCTGCATCATCCACATGGGAAAGCCTACAGAAAACTGCCTTCACTGATGTGGCTTTACTTTTAAAATTATACAATTTTTGGTACAAGTTCTGATTTCTGTCATGGTTCAAAAATGGTATCACTTTTAAATAGACTGTGACAGTGTCACGGTATGTGATCAGCCACTAAAGAAAGTGGTTCTGTGGTGATATATGTGTTCCCAATATTAACATTTTCTGATTTGAAGCACTTTGATTAGTAATGCTGAGCAGGGGTGTTTGAAAGAGCAGAATGTACTTGACCATACCTGTCCCCTTCAAAGTTCATAATGACTGAACAGCTAAATCCCCTCTAATGGATCAGAAAATGTGATCTATAGCTCATTGCTGTGCTCTAAAACTGTGGCAAATGGCCCATGACTGGTCTACAGAAGCATATTAAATACATTTTGGCTTAAGATTTTTAGGAATGCCTGGTGACAAAGAAATACAGATGGATGACAGACACTTAGCACTCCCCCAAAAAATGATGTCTTTTGCCAACAGCAGGTTTTTCACTTCTGAGTTTAGATCAGCTTAGATAAAGATTTTCCAGATGAGTCCAGCCCTGTGGATCTCTTTAACACACACTTGGGATGTTAAATCCTCATCTTTATCAGGTAGTCAAATGCATTTTAACCCTATAGATGACTGATCCATCCAAGAACTAATCCATATATATACATGTGAGGGTGCTTTGGAGGGGAGCTGTGCGAGCTGCAGGGATATCTGAGCTTTTGAGGCATCGTATCCGTGTGTTCTGATCAGCATCTTTTTTGTTCTCTCCCTGAGCTCCACTGTGCGTGGTGGTGGCGGCAGAGGGACAGCCAGAAGGGTGCTGTGAGACCTGTTGGCATCACTAACGATGTGGAGCTGCCAGAATGGGCCCAGGGAAGCTTGGAGAGCAGCACCCACACACTCCTAATGAGGACAGAGGGAGGAGGGTGCCTGTGCGAGCACAGAGGCAGCGCCAGGCAGCTCCTGGGGGGAAGGGGGGGTGGGCAGCCCAGAGAGAAAACATTATTGTCTGTGTGGGTTTTAAAGCTGTGTCGGAGCCCTCCTTCCCCGCAGAGCCCCGTTCCATCTGCTGTTTAAGCAGAAAGTAGTCGTGTAGGTGGGAAAGGAAGTTCTGCACCTAGGGAAAGCTGCTGTCCTGAGCTGGTTAGAGAGAGCCGGTGTGACAGCAGGCGGGGGACACCTGTGTGTCACACAGTGGGGAAAGGAGCAGCAGGAAGTGCAGAGGAGGAGAAGAAATGCGAAGAGCCAGCCTGGGTGAATCCTGGATTGTGCGAGGAACAGGATTTCCCCTGACCTTCTTGGAGCTGAACCAGCTCACGTGGGAGAGGGGACTCAGGTAGAAAACCCCTCCACAAACCCGCTCCAACTGAAGCCATTTCAGCAGAATCCGAGAGGCAAACTTCCTACCCTGGCAGCTCTGCTAACCACTGACAAGGTGCCTTTTTTTAGGGGTTGAGGAGGGCACATAGCCAAAGGCATCCCACATTCCTTATGCTGAGTGCGAAGGTTGCCAAAATTAGTGCACGTACACAGAGTGCACAATAAGCCATTTCCCGCTTGATATGCCAAGAAGGCTGAGGAATCTGTGAATTGTGCTGCTAAGAGGAAGCACATACCCAGCATCTTGTCCATCAAAGCAGAAAACACCTCCGAACGGCAACAAGAGCGAACCAGCGCTGCAAGAAGCTGTTTAAAACCAGCAGCAGAGCTGTGCAAATAAAATTCCGAGCTCGTGCAGGCAGCTCCAAACTCCCTGCCAAAAGTGAAAAAGCAGCGTACACCAGAGTGTAATCAAGCTCTTCAAATCTACTATGCAAGTGCCTCTGCAGTGGCTCTTTCTCCAAGAATCCAAAGTTCTGAGTGCTGTCTTGAGGGAGACATTTCACACCAGTTCTGTAGGTACAGCAGCAAAATTGCTTTAGCCGGAGCAGCATCGCATGGCTCTTTATTCCATTTTGCAGAGGTAATAAACATTAGCTGAATAATTTAGGCTGAAACATTTTACCCCATAAAATTTTTTTCCATTGACAAACAGTTATTTCTATCATCCACAATAACCATTTTTAAGGGCGGCAGAATGAAGCTGAGTTTTCCATTTACCAGTGTGAAACTTTTTTTTTTTTTTTTTTTTTTTTTTAAGAAGTCCTGATTTATTCACACTGTGTGTGCAGTGTTTTAGTGTGGTGGTATTTGAAGCCAGGATTTGTGAAAAACATGATCCATTGGCAAGAAAAAGAACAGAGGAGGGAGGTAGTATTTGTTTTTCAAGCAACTGGCCCACTGTTTTAGCAACGAGGAGAAGAAAGGGACTTGACTTCTTACAAGAAATCTCTTTGATTTTTATATAATTATATGGGAGTCTGACTGGGAAGTTCAGGGATGTGCAAGAGGATTAGCTCCTGCTTCTCACTCAGATGCAGGTGGTCAGAAAGTTTCTCTGAGATAATAGAATTAAACTCTTAGGAAAACTGATGAAAGATCCACATTTGTTGTTTCCGAAGAGGGTTACACTTGGAAAATGAGAGACAAAGCATGATCTGTGGGCATCGCTCTGGGCAGGCAAAGCCCCGTGCCCAAAGAGAAATTGAGAGATGTAGACAATTGTCTAAAGTATTATGGAAAAATGACCGTTTTACACTGACAGATGATGCAGGTAAAGAGAGTTCTAATGGAAAACAATACAAAACCTCCTGTTTTGTTCTCTATTTGATCCTCCTTCACTGTGTTTACTTGCTTAAACATACTTTCTTGAGCTACACCCCAGAGCATATGGACTGTCCCCTTTGTGTGACATTATCCCTGCTGACAGGCTGGGGATTGTCTTTGGTCACCCAGATAGGATGAGCCACAGTGATTAACAACATGTATTATTTCTTGGCTCTGCCTGTCCCTAAACTGATGACTCTGTATATCCATCCCACAGCTATTGGCATTGGTTCCTCATCAGATTGTGACCTGAGGCCTCCTGGGTGTAAATAAGAGCACAAAGTATTGCAGGGCTCAGTGGTAAATATTATACTTCATGGCTCAGTGTTTAGCTTATGTGATGGATTGCTGGAGATATAAATGAAAAACTTAAAAAGAAAAAAAAAAGGAAATATATGTTTAAAATGTTCACTTTAATTTCAGAGCTCTAATATCTTATTGCATCTTTATTGTCATGGGTATGAGCCTATGGAGAATTTAATTTCTAGGTAAGAATAACTGCTAGGGAGTTTGTGCCTCATGAAAGTAGTTTCTTCACAACTGTCTTGCAATTGAAGTATTGTTAAGCCCTTGTCTAAATATAGTGGCAACATTAAAAAGCACAGCAAGCAATTTCTTCCTTTTTTTCTGTGCAACACTTGGTGAGTGTGGGCAAAATTCTGCCCTAAGTGTGCCAGCAGTGGGATTCTGGAGAGAACAGGACTACCAGACAAAGTTAGGTAGAGTTAGGGTGCCTTTAGTGGGTAATTGCTTTTTGGAAAAGTGAAGTCTTCTGTCTGTGATCTTGAGTTTCCTGCTACTGGGAAAGTTTGTGATCTGTAGGAGAGGTGTTACATGAACTCACTGGAATGTAGTCAGGAAGCAGAAGGAATTCCATGGCATGGAGTCTGCAGCAAGGGCTTTAATCTACCCTGAAGTCACTTGAAGCTCTCTCTCTTTTTCCTCTTCATACACCATTTTAAACATAAACCAGCCTGTTGAATGCACATACACACCAAATGTTAACAGAACCCTCTGTGGGATATTCTTTAGAAGTTGGATGGGAAAAAAAAGCAGAGCTGAGATGAGAAGCCCCTCGCTGTACCTGTGCTCACAATCCTTCCACGTGGCCACACAACCACAGGGTAGGCAGCAAAGTGGCTCTTTGCTCACACTCCTAATGGTCTGGAATTCCAGGATTAAGGCACCACCTTCACTTCATGCAACTTCACGCAGCCCGTGGGGCTGAGGGGGTAAAATAATTGCAACTGAGGTTTTTCTGAGTATCGAGGATGGCTGTGGTCGTGTGACATTTTGCTGGTGAGCAGGCTGCTTTAATGAGCATGTGAGCCAGGCTTCATATAAATCAAATCTTATTCTCTTGTGAATCCCTGCTGCCTCTCCAAGGCTGTGAATCCCTTGCAAAGGTTATTATTTGAAACACTTTAGGGGGTACAGCCCTGTACCAAACCTGTAACTGCCTGCGTTATTTTGGTGGCAATAGACAAAGAGAGAAAAGCTCTCTTTGATTATTTTTTTTTCCTTTATGTGCTGCTTTGCAAGTATTTTTCCATCCAATTAATCCCACCAGGTTTCTAATTGAAGTGGTGGTTTGCATAAATATTAGTCAGTCACTAAGAAACACGAAGGGTCAGGGCATGCCAAATGAAGGAGTGTGTTTGGTACCTACTCTGATGCATTTCTGCTGAGCCCTCGTACTGCAGATGCTCATATTGTTTTTCCCTTATATGTTTTTGTTGAGTCTTATTGGTAATAGCAATATAGGTAAATAAATTATGTAAGCGGGTTACTTGTTCTAGTTCTCCCTTAATGCCATTTCAATGGGAAGTAAGTGGCTACAAATATTCTGTGTTGGTCGGGTCTCTCAGTCTCTCTCTGACTAATGAATGGAGAAATATTTCTTCACTTTCCCAAGTGTAATACGTTGTGAGGACAAATAAATTAAATTTTTGGAGGCCTTTATATGAGTAGGTGCCACATAACCTGCTACAGAAATTTGCAAAGCAATGTTCTTGGTGCTCACCTTGGCTTTGTAACTTGTCTGGTGTTGGCGCATATTCAGCTCCAAACTGAGACAGTTTCAGATGCTTTGCTTTACAGTGTCCATATTAGACCCCTTTACCTTTGGTAATTCAGTTTTTAAAAATTTAGAAAAATTAAAGAACTAGTTAGGAAGGCAAATTGAAAATGAAGGAAAGGTACTGGCCAGGCCAAGGCTTCTTTCTTTGTTATCAGTACTCAGTTACAGAAAAATTATTTCCTGCACAGAATTGGCAGTGCTCTGGAATTGTGTCTTGTCCTGAGTTCACCCTGTGCTGTCCCCAGACACTCAAGGTTGTCACCAAGAACAAGCTGGGTGGTTGGATGAGTAAATGCAGTTAGAGCTGTGTAAGGACTATTTGGGTTCTGCAGGGCTAGGGATGCAAAGTCAACCTCAGCAGAGTGAGGGCAGCTCTAAGTTCAGATTTTTTCATCATAAGCATCTTCCTGGCAGCTGTAGAAAAAAAAGGAGCTTATTAAAAAAACATTCACAGTTTCATACTTTATTCTGCTCTTGGGACTAGACTGCAATTAGACTTTCTTGATGGCACATTTCTATACATTAACAGGATGCCAGCGTGTGGCTGTGACAAGATGCAGTTTTGTCAGACAGAAGAAGGGACAGAGTTGATTGTATAAACCCAGTGAAGCTGATTTTTCTATTGATGCTTTTCAACCAAGTTGGACAAGGTGGAGAAACATGACAAAATATCAAAGCTTACATGTTAATACTTAAATGTTCTGTATCACTTTTCCATCCATCCTTGTACTCCAGTACTGCAGAAAGGATATTCCCATCCATGGGTCCAAGGCACAGCCCAGAGTTGTATTCATTAGGCTTTCCCATTGCCATTACTAAGCTCAGTGAAGTTGCAAACACTGTTAAAATTAAGTTGCCAGAGGAAAATGGTTCTGAAGCATCCGTTTTTATAACGTCCCCTGTGGTGACATCAGACAGGCTCACAGGCACCCAGGGAGCACAAACACGACTGGAAAGGGGATGGGGAAAGAAGTTTCCATTTTTCTTCTGCTGAAATGTGGGAGTTCTGGGGAAACAAAGACAGTTCAGAGATATTTGCCTTCCTCCAGGCTTGCCATCAGCTGTTGTATATAAGCTTCAAAACAAAACTCACCAAAATGACAGCACTTTGTTTGCTGCTGCGGTGGGGAATGAGGCTGTTCCTGGGGGGGAATATTTTAACGTCCTTGCAATGCAAGGCTAGAGAGGAGCCTCAAACCATTGTGCGATGACATCCATTCCAAATTCTCAGACATGGGAATGTGCTTCTTGTCTGTCACCGTGCAACAGTCACCTGCAAGGACATTAAAATGGAAATTTTAGAACAGCCAAAGAAATAAAGCCACAATGTGATAGAGCTTGTCAGCTACTAATTTGATATCTACACACATGCATGTTCTGTGTCTCCTTGTATTAAATCGTTCTGTGCAAGTATTTAGCTGTTAAATAAAACAAAGTATGACCATAATCGGTAGACCAGCAACAGTTTTCTCTTCCCTGCTTCCATTATCACAGCTTCAAGTTATCACTGTGCCACTTCACAGCTCAGTGATTGTTATTAGTATGACCTACCAAGTAATTTTGGTTTGCATGTTGTACTGGACATACTGAGTCAAACTGAGGTTACAGCTGTCAGGGAGATGTTTCACCAGGGGTTCCAAGTCTAGCAACAACAGAGTCCCTGGGCCTGTGCTCAGGAGAGTTTACAAACTTGCAGCTATTTGCTTGATAAGGTCAGAAAAGAAAATTAAGAGGGCTTCTAAAGTGTAAGAGTACACAGCCCATCACTGGGTCTGGGGAGGGGGAGGCCTCGGGGGGTGCAAGTGGATGTTCCTGGTGGGAGATGTCTTGAAAATCCGTTTCCTGGGCCATGAAACCCTGTGAAGCTTCGAAAAGCCTCACTATTTTGTCTTCACAAAAACATCTTGAAGGAACCACAGCAGCTTGGTCATGAGGTCACTCTTTAGGAGACCAAAGATTCAGTTCTTTTAATCCGTGAAGATCAGATTTGTACGTGGTCTGCACTGACTGGTGTGTGTGTTTTTACGTGCCCAGGGAAGAATATCGCTCATGAAAACCTTTTATGGCTTTGACAAATGTTCACTTATAGATGAAATATATTTTTGCGAAAAAAAAAATAATCATAAGCCACTTTTTCCCTTGGCTCTGCCAGTTCTTTATTTTTCTCTGCTTTCATCTCCAAGCCTCCTACCTTTTTCTGTCTTGTCTATTTTGATTCAGTCCATGCCCCTGAATGGCTCCTGTCTTGCTCTGTGCTTGTACAGTGTCTATCACAACGGGTTTCAATCTGTTAGCACCTAGAGGCATTAACATAATGCAGGTAATAAGGGCTAAATTTAACTTGCTCACAACTACTTTTACCCACTCTAATATGCATCACGCTCTTCAACTGGCAGGCTCGAACTGCATATAATGGCTGCCTGGCTACAGCACACAGGCAAAGAAGGTGATAGAAAGCATTTAACTCAATTAAAAAAAAAAAAAAAGAGAAAAAAAAATTCCCTTCCAAAAACCTCAGCTTCATTTTTCCCCATTGCTTTCGGAAACTTCATGTCAAGATAGATTTTCCTTCCACTGTGATGACATTAAATCTCATGGCTGGCATAAAATATGCTTTATGAGTTATTAAAGAATGTTACAGTAGCTGAATTGGGCAATCATTAAATAAATATTACTGTATAGTTTATTAAAAGAAAATTTAAGTGCTTGCCATTTTTACTTATTCTCTCTAGGAAGGCTGATTTTATAGGTTTTCTTCCTTTATCTATTTTTATGATCTGGAATAAACTCTACAAACTTCATAGTTCATCCAAATACCTACAAGAGGTTTAATTGATGAAGATCCCATTTGAACAAGAAATAGCTAAATAGCATGTTCCTAATTTTCTGTGTTCAGTTCAATGATTATGCCAAACTAAAAACTCCAGAAAATTGGGTTCAAGTGCTTTAGCCTATAATTCTTTGCTTTTACAAATTGTAATCATAGTGATTACCTGTAATAATCAAATTATGGGTGGGAAATTGGAAAAAAAGTAATTCAGTTCACAAAGTACAAAAAGACTCAATCATAGGAAGCAATTTTTAAGGGTTCATTTGGACACTGTACACTGGCTTTGGTTCTTGGCAGAAATTTGTCCTCTTGCCTAGCTCAGCATTCACTGTGCACTGTCTGCAGTGATCCCCAAGCAAGCCCTTCTCTGAACAGCAGCATAAACCCAGGGAAGAGAACTTTCCAGAAAATTTGTGAGGATGGCTTCTTTAACTTCAC